GATACAAAATCATACAAAACAAGATACACACACATGCCAAAAACAGATACATGACTATACCAAAAAAAACGCACTTCATGATCCATTCTGGGTCGAATTCGGAGGCCAGGGTGTTGCCGGTCAGAATGTCTTTGTCGGGATAGTACTGCATATCGTACGCCAAACTCTCCACCAATTGAATGGGCGCAATCTCTTCGGCAAATTGGAACGCCATATTGTAGATGGCTGTGTGGTGTGATTTTGGGTTTTAATTTTTAGGATCGTTGAAAAAATTGGTACAGAGTGTTTTATGGTTTTTGGCTTATAATCGGATGGGACGTGTTTTTTTCTTTGTGTTTTTTTTATGGAATCGTAAAATGGGACGTGAATGAGGACCAGAAGCAGAAAAATATGGCAGTTACATACAAACACTTGGACGCTTGCTTGAGCGGGCGCAAACTCTTCGGCAAATTTGAAGACCATATTGAAAATGGCTTTTGTGCCGTGTTTTGTTTCTTTTGAATTGTAAAATGGGACGTCCAATGCAAATTTTAATAAATGCCACTTAAAGGAGAAAAACCTATCCACCAGTTGAAGGGGTGTGAGATCTCTGAGGCGAAATGAGGTGCCAAATGGCGCCCTCTGGCACTAGTCACTACATACGACCCAATTTAGGATTTGGGGTTTAGGGTTTAATGTTTTGACAAAAAATGGGTCAACATTCGCCCTCCGATAGTAATCCAGACACGTCAGCGACCGCGACATCAGCGTATGTCCATAAAACAAATTTAAAGTTTTAGGGTTTGCCAACACGTGAATCTATATAGGTTTTAGGGTTTAAGGTTTTAGAGTGCTACACCTAGATCCAGTATGTACCTCATACCCAGTGCCTTGAGAATGTGAATGCAATTTCAACACCACGTTTCTACACCTCACAAGATATAAGGGTTTAGGGTTTAGGTATATAGGGTTTTAGACCCTAAGACCCTTCTATCTCAGATTACAGATACACAAATCCAGCTTCATGGATATCACCCAGAAACAGACGTGACTGTGAAATGTTTGTTCACATGTATTTATAATGTAAACATACGCATAATAGATATGTACATATAGTTGTGTCGATATACTTCTCATATTGATAAGTAAATATATGTAGATGTACTTCTCATATTGAGCATGTATATAAATACTTGTGTAAATATACTTTCATATGG